AGTAAAATTTAACCTACCTTGTTTTTGTGATGTATGTTGTTTTTTTCACCTAGGAAAAGAAATGATATGCATTCACTTGCAAACTCCAAAAAACTTTCAGTGTATTTATAGAGGAAGACAGAATTTTAGCAACAAACATGTTCTATTTTTCTGTCAGTCATTTAGAGAATCTCATCTCAACCCGCTTGAGTGAATCCCTGTCTTTCTCACCGTAAACTCTTTTTCTGGATCACAAATAACTAAGTCTGCATCGTGACCTGGAATGAGACTCCCTTTTTGGTCGTCAAGGCGACATAGTTGAGCAGGCTCTTTACACAAGAGTCTTACAAAATGAAAACCCTCTTTTAGAAGCTGATGTCCAGAACAAAGATAAACCTGTTGGTAAACCGCGAGATGAATGACAATTTTAGTAACGCCATATGAAACATGTCTCAGGTCTTTGTTTACTCAAAATACATGACGGACACTCTTGCATTTGGTCGTTTAACTTGCGAGACCATGAATTTATGTACAAATTCATTCGGCCATAAAATTTGATAATAGCCAACAATTCACAGTTTAAATATACAGTTCAAGGTGGAAAAAGTAAGTGGAAAATTTTTGGAAGCAATAACATACACAAGTACTGTAATTACTGAGGAAAACGGCACTATTCCTCACTATTCTTCAGCGTCAATCCAAAGGCCTATTTTCTTCTGCTGAACCCATTTTGTTGTTGTTGATTTGCGTCTGATCTTTGGGTAGTTGTCCTGTTGCATCACCCAACTTCTGTTGAGCTTCAACTGGAAGACAAATGGCCTTTCATTCCCGTGCAAAATGTCCTGATAAACTTGAGCTTCAGCTTTCTATCAATTATAGCTTGCAGTCCAGGCCCTGATTTAGCAAAGTAGCTCCAAATCATGATGGTTAGGTTGAGATGCTTTTGCAAACAGCTTTGGTTTCATTTGTTGAAACAATGTTGCTAATAGTGCTGTGGAACATCCTGGTTTGTGTGTTACTTGTTTTCATCATACTGTGTTTGTCTTTTGTTCAGGTCAAATTTTATGACCGGTTGAGGCAGAAATCCATGCTAAATGCAAGTTCATATACTTTTTTCGTACAAGTCTAGATCTTTTTTTAAGCTGGGTCCAATCTGGGACTCTGTCTTGATTCCTGAACGTAATTATTATTTTTTTTTTAGTTCATCATTAGTTCATCATTGGTAAATTGTTGGTGGACCACTGTTTGCCTCACAAAGGACTTTGGCCATCATGTGAGTGCATGAGCATATTAGTACATTGACAGCCTACCAAACTGCAGAGAAGAGATCCCTCCCCATGCCTGTGTGAAATCACCACTGTCTAAACACTTTAGGTCAGGTTGCATGGTGAATGATCTGACACAACCATATCAATATCACCAGCTTTGAGTGCAGACCATAGGAGCTCCTAAAAAGAAACTGGTTATAGATTGACTATAATAGATTATGGTTAGAATGCACTGTAATTGAGGTTTGTGGAAGTTCATAGGACAATCAAAAGAGACTTGTTCATGCAAAATGTAAATTCTGTCATTATTATGTTCCAAAGCTGTCTGACTGACTTTCTTCTGTGGAACACAAAAAGAGAAATTTTGAATTTTTGAACAATTTTTAAAGTAATGGGGAGCCTTCAAGCTTCAAAATGGATCCAAAAGCACCATAATCAAAGTATTAAATTAAATAAGTAAGTGAATAAAGTCCACATGTCTTGTGTTCTATATTGCTATTATTCTACAGACATATGATAACCTTGTGGGAATTTAGTAGAGAATAAGTGATGTCCAATTTGTGAATGAATCATTCTTTTTGACTCTTTTCATAGGCCTTGTTCAGACTAACAGCAATAATCTGATTATTTGCATATCCAGATATTATCCAGATGGGGTTTTGAAAGTACAGCAAAAAACAAAAAAAAAAAAACATAAATTACTTAATCAAATTTTTGTAAAATTTACACTGAAACTTGTTAAAGACCAACTTTTGTTGATCAGCTTTTTCTGTCAACTTGAATCGGTTTCATTGTCTGTAATGCATATTGCTGATACCAGGTTGGCTGCGTCTCGTATCGGGGGGCAGCATTTAAACTAAGTTGCACGTGCTGGAATGTTCTCTGGACACAGGTTGAGGTAGTGATGGGTGGTCTCTACAGTCAGTGGAGCTCCAGCCTTTCTTGCTGCCCTGATGAGCTCCAGAGGCTGGGCTGATGACAGGTGCACAATGTGGCATCTTACTCTGATAATAAGAACAGAAAATGCTGACTTCTCACCACCCATTTTGATTGGCTACCCACAGTGTGCAGAAGCAGCTATTAGATAATCAAAAGTTGAGTACTTCACTCTAAATGGTCTCATCATAACATACTGATATTGTAAGCAGATCTGAGTGACGGTACGGATGGCCTCAATCTCCATAATGTTAGGCCTGGAACTCAGGAAGGTGGAATATTCATGTGGATCTGAGTAAGAGGAGTAAAGCAGGAATTTCCATTTTAAAAATAATACATGTTCATAATTTCAAGTAGAATTGAAATTTAATTTACATGAAATGATCAGTCTCATACCCCCTTTCTCAGCAGCTGCATGCTGGACTTCTCGCTCTGCATGAAACTAAACCAAATAGGGTTTCATTCATTTAAGTTCCATAATTATATTTCCATAATTATGCCTAATAATAAATGATGTCTGACCAGATGCATTTTTCTCATTGACAGTTGTGCACAATTTTACCATTGGTACTGATTATAAGATACTCATTATGGCAGAAATGTTTCATGAAATCAGATTGAAATGATTGGGGCAAGCAGAAAATGAGATGGTTTACCAGCAGAGCGCTGCCTGTGCCCTGGAGCTGTTTCATAGCTGCATGCAGATCTCATCCACTCCACTGTGAATCAGAAAGCACTTGATATTGGGTCAAGAATTATGATTGAGTCAAGAATGGGCACAGTTTGATATAGGCATTGGTGTAAGTGGTCAAACGTCTGAGGAAGGGACATGTTGACAAAACTGCATGAAAAAAGAGGTGTTAGGAGGACTAAGACATGCAAAAGATGATAGAATGAAAAGGGAGAGAAAAAGACAATACAAAATGAAGTCCCAGATGAAGTCCGTGACCAGCTCATTAGCTGGAGTTTTGTATCCGATCTGGGTGAAACCCAAGTGAATACTGCCATGGTAGGTTCTGGATGTGTCATGGATGGTCTGTCTCCCTTCCCTCTATTGTATATGGACAGAACAAACAATTGCTTTGAACTGCTCACAAACACTGTATCATCATTACAGCATTCAGAGAGACTGATGTGCTGGTCGGTTTTCTTTCTGACGTATGCAGTGTCACATAGAATCTAGAGACACTAAATAAAAAGCTTTTGAATCGCATGCATAATAACTTCTTTAAAAGATGTTCCAAGCTATTCATACCTCCTTGGTTATCCTTAACTCTTTCAAAATCACTTTGTCTTTAATTCTATAATATTTCACTTAATTATTGATTTGTACTCTTAAAAAAACTGATCAGGTTATTAGAATCCCAACATAGATTAATTTTTTTCAGTAATGCAGATTTTATAAAGATATGCTAATGGCATACTTAATCCTGATTCCATAATGAGATATATTTCTTTACTGTGTCATTTCCTTTTAGTCTAATTCATTTCCTGATTTTAGAAAATGCAAACAGAGGCCGAGTCAGAAGAATAGAGGTGGATTAATGTCAGTGGGAAAAGCTTCCTTTATGAATGTGTTACATGGGTTTACTGGATTTGTGGGGAGAGCACAGTCCGATTTGCTCGAATAGTTTGTGAATTGAGCGTAATCCCACTGGAAAACTGATTTTTCTTGACAAATAGCTCAAAGGAAAGGCCAAAATGAGGTCAAATGCTATTTACTGTTCTCTGCAGTCCATTTCAATTAATTTTTAGAAAAAACATAAAGTAAAAAAAAAAAAGTGAAATATTTGAACTTATAAGCAACCCTGGAGATCCATAGTTTCTGAAAATTATATTTTTAGTAAAACAATTTTTACTTGAATATCTATCTGTCTGTCTGTCCGTTCGTTCATTCATTCTTTCATTCATTCATTCATTCATTGTTGCACGAGTACTGATGGAACATTAATGCTTAGAAATAATAATAATAATAATAATAATAATGATAATAATAATAATAATAATAAATGGTCTTTCAATTACCCCTAAACTTTAAGATTTTAAGCTTTTTTAATTTTACGTTTTACATTTAAGACAACATTTTAACCTTAAGAAATAATAGTATTATAATAATCAAATTGTACTTTATCATAAGCATGGATGGAATGCCAAAGCTTAGAAGTCAATGTAATAATAATAATAAAAATAATAATAATACAATTGTCTTTCAATTACCCCTAAACTTAAAATTAAGAATTTATTTATTTACAAAATTTTAACCTTAAGAAATTAACTTTAGCATAACAATTGATGGAACGTTAAAGCTTAGAAGTCGATGTAATCATCATCATCATCTGTCTTTTAGCCCTTTTTCATCATGTACAATTCAAGACAAAATCTGAACCTTCTATCTATATAGCCGTTAAAAAACCCAGCACAGACTAATTTTATTCTGTAATGCATTTTTCATAAAGATACATTCATGTGATTTACTTCTTTTCATAATGAATCTTTTTTTGAGTCATTTTCTTTTAGTGTCTTATTCACTTACTGACTTCAGAAAATGCATATACTAAAAATTTTAAATATTATTTTATCATACTACTGTACATTTTACTTTGTTTCTTTTGACATAGCTCACACATACAGTCCAGCATTAGCCGCTGAGTCTCATGTTATGTAGAGCCATGTTTGTGTGTGAGAGTGTGTGTACCGTACTCCGCGGAGAATCTAATCCCCATCCCCCTCACCCCCCCACCCCTCTCTCTCCTCCCCCTCTCGCTCTCTTCCTCTCTACTGCATTGATGCTACTGCCTTCCTCAGTGATGATGTCACTGGTTCAGTCAGTCTCAGCATCACTGCTCTAGGCAGCAAGCAGAGCCATTTTGGCTTCTACATTACAGGGCACTCAAAGATCTCTCCTCCAAGAAGCAGGCCTCGCCGGGCATCCAGCTACACCTCGCTGGAACAAATAAAGGATCCTCTGTTAAACAGAGGGAAAAACAGACTGTTTTCGACATATCAGAGGAAGAGCTGAAAAAAGAGAATTTGAGAAGCCAGCACAAGAGGCAGTAGTGGGAGCTGATCTGTAGAGTCAATAGCTGAGAGCATCAGAGGATCACCACCGTAAAGGTAAGAGTTTTTTCATTGTTAGCATGTTCTAGAGGACAATGCAGTATTAATGAGGCTCTGTCTGTTTATTTGGTGTTGTGTCACCAGGGTGGGACTGCCGTGGGGTGCGGCCATTTAGAGCCTGTCAGCAAATCCAGACATTATTATTATGACAGAGAAGTGTTTTTTTATTGAGTATTGGAACAGATGTTGTTCGTCATAAATGGCCCTCTGTCCTTGTGTACATATTTCTAAGTGCGGGCGAGATAAATGCACTGTCATGCATTGTCTCAGGCTCGCAGCCACATAGTAATGTCTTCAAGATAGAGCTTATGAATCACGATTCCAGAATTTACCAGAGAACAGAGAAAGAATTATCATTATACGTTTTTTTTTTCTTTAATATGGTAGCGAGTTGAGAAAATATAGTGACTACTGGCAACACACATATGCGTATGATTCCCACTATATTCTACGTATGATGTCACGCAAATGAATGATTTATATAGATTTGTTGACACTTAAGAGCACAATGACTGACGACAAAAAAATCCATTATGGATTTATGATCTACACTGCAAAATATTACCTTAAAGGCATAGTTCACCCACAAATTACAATTCATCATTTACTCACCCTCAAATTGTTTCAAACCTATTTCATGTGATAATGTGTAAACTAACTGGTTATATTCAAGTCAGAAATATTATTTAACAAGTCTTACTTAATTGTTACACCAATGACCAAGAAAAGCAATGACCAAGAAAAATGAAATTTTTATCATCATTTACTCACCCTCATGTACTTTCTGTAAGAATTTCATTCCTGTGTGTGTGGAACACAAAAGAAGATATTTTGAAGAATGTTGGTAACCTAACAGTAGCTGGTAGCCATTGACTTCCATAGTAGGGAAAAATGCAATGGAAATCAACGGCTACAAGCCACTGTTTGGTTACCAACATTCTTCAAAAAAATCTCCTTGTTTGTTTTACTACCCCTTTAAGGCTACTTGATCTGACCCTTAAAAATACTGTCATTGGTGTAACAATTAAGAAAGACTTGTTAAGTAATATTTTCAACCTTGAATCAAACCAATTCAATTAATATATTACTATATGAAGTACATTTTTAGGTTAGGTGAAAATATTTAATTGGGTTAATCAGAAATTGTTTATAATGGACATGAGTAGGTTGATTAATCAACATGCCGGTCACAATACATGTATTATAAAATCAGTTTTATAGTTGTCACTTCATCAACTCAACAACACTAAAAACGGCAGCTTTCTGACTACTTTGTAAACTGACATGCTGCCTTTGAGGTTCATGGCAAGTAGTCTAAGTAGACGAGAGACTGAACCCACTCCGTCACACCAGAATGTGACTCAGCGTGATGTTAGTCTAATTGAAAAACGCAGAATGCAGCTACCATGAGATCACTATATGAGCTCTTTTACGTTTATTCAAATAAACCTCTTAGTTACTGAAGCATACACGCTTATAAACAGAAGCAGAACTCATTGAAAATGAGATTGAGGCTTATAGGTCATAAATCTTCCCTGCATGACACATTAATTGTACCTCCATTTTGGTCCGACTAGGAGTCTGAGCTGGACTCAGAGTTTGTGGCAGCCAGCTCTGTTATCTGTTATTGTAATCCTAGGGAGCGTACTGACATTTAGCCAGCCGTGCAATTCTTTTGTTGCTGCCGGGCTGAGTATCTCTCTAGATCTGTAGCTGACCATGCATGATCCTTTTACAGGGAGGTCATATAAACACAGTCTTCCTGTTTGATCTGAACATCGAAATATTGAACATTTTTAGATTTATTATTTAAGCTCATCGTAAGTCACCACTGAAATCATGTTTTTGCTTGTCAGCCTGTCATTCCTTCATGCCATTTCTTTATAGATACAACAGAAATTGCACTCCGTTGCTATGGTGATAGGCAGCTAAGATTTACAGCCTTCCCGAAAGTAGGTGTAATTTAATTTCCAATCGAGATCGTCTAAATCAATATCTCTCTGCTCATATATAGTAATGGAGCTACTAAAGGAGTAATATCCTCTCTTTTTTTCAGAAGTGCTGCACATAGATGAAGGAATATAGATTTTACTGTAAATTTATTGTACATTAATATTTTTGTGCATTGATCAATATGTCTCAGTCAATTAGTAAGCAGCTTTTCATATGTGACCCTGGACCACAAAAGCAGTCTTAAGTCGCTGGGGTATATTTGTAGCAATAGCCAAAAAAAAATTAATATATTACTATATGAAGTACGTTTTTAGGTTACGTGAAAATATTTAATTGGGTTAATCAGAAATTGTTTATAATGGACATGAGTAGGTTGATTAATCAACATGCATGTATTATAAAATCAGTTTTATAGTTGTCACTTCATCAACTCAACAACACTAAAAACGGCAGCTTTCTGACTACTTTGTAAACTGACATGCTGCCTTTGAGGTTCATGGCAAGTAGTCTAAGTAGACGAGAGACTGAACCCACTCCGTCACACCAGAATGTGACTCAGCGTGATGTTAGTCTAATTGAAAAACGCAGAATGCAGCTACCATGAGATCACTATATGAGCTCTTTTACGTTTATTCAAATAAACCTCTTAGTTACTGAAGCATACACGCTTATAAACAGAAGCAGAACTCATTGAAAATGAGATTGAGGCTTATAGGTCATAAATCTTCCCTGCATGACACATTAATTGTACCTCCATTTTGGTCCGACTAGGAGTCTGAGCTGGACTCAGAGTTTGTGGCAGCCAGCTCTGTTATCTGTTATTGTAATCCTAGGGAGCGTACTGACATTTAGCCAGCCGTGCAATTCTTTTGTTGCTGCCGGGCTGAGTATCTCTCTAGATCTGTAGCTGACCATGCATGATCCTTTTACAGGGAGGTCATATAAACACAGTCTTCCTGTTTGATCTGAACATCGAAATATTGAACATTTTTAGATTTATTATTTAAGCTCATCGTAAGTCACCACTGAAATCATGTTTTTGCTTGTCAGCCTGTCATTCCTTCATGCCATTTCTTTATAGATACAACAGAAATTGCACTCCGTTGCTATGGTGATAGGCAGCTAAGATTTACAGCCTTCCCGAAAGTAGGTGTAATTTAATTTCCAATCGAGATCGTCTAAATCAATATCTCTCTGCTCATATATAGTAATGGAGCTACTAAAGGAGTAATATCCTCTCTTTTTTTCAGAAGTGCTGCACATAGATGAAGGAATATAGATTTTACTGTAAATTTATTGTACATTAATATTTTTGTGCATTGATCAATATGTCTCAGTCAATTAGTAAGCAGCTTTTCATATGTGACCCTGGACCACAAAAGCAGTCTTAAGTCGCTGGGGTATATTTGTAGCAATAGCCAAAAAAAACATTTTATGGGTCAAAATTAGACATTTTTATTTTCTGCAAAAAAACCGTTAGGATATTAAGTAAAGATCATGTTCCATGAAGATATTTAGTAAATTTCCTACCGTAAATATATCAAAACGTGATTTTTGATTAGTAATATGCATTGCTAAGAACTTCATTTGGACAACTTTAAAGGCGATTTTCTCAATATTTAGATACTTTTGCACCCTCAGATTCCAGATTTTCCAAATATTGTCATATCCTAACAATCCATACATTAATGGCAAGCTTATTTATCCAGCTTTCAGATGATGTATAAATCTCAATTTAAAAAAATTGAACCTTATGACTGGTTTTGTGGTCCAGGGTCACATATGCAATTAATATAATGTATATATTTAATACCATAACTGTAATACATTATAAATGTAAATACAATAAAAATAATAACAATAATAATAAACCAAATAATTATTGTATTATATTATATTATATATCCTATTACTTGTTTCACTTCTGTTTCAGTTTTTATAACCATTTCTTACTATGTGTAAGTAAGTTGTTGTTTTTTAGCATGTAAGTTTGGCAGTGTTATTTAGGATTACTGATAAACTACTGTTCGGTGTCATAATGTTACATTTCTCTCTTTGCAGGTGAAAGCAGTGCTTTCAGCGCACACACAGAGGCACCATGGCAGCGGCCTCGGTGAAGGTTGCGGTGAGAGTCCGTCCCTTCAACTCTCGTGAGATGAGTAAAGAGTCCAAGTGCATCATCCAGATGTCAGGAAACACAACCAGTAAGTACCCAACTGCACCTGAGCCCCGAAGCTTCCATCCGGAACATGCAGCTGTTAAATCACTAAGAATACTCAAAACGCTCCCGTTTATAGAGCATGACTTTTACTGTGTGTCTTAATGTTGTTTTCGCAGGCGTGTGTTGGGTTTTTATGAGCCCTGTCTGAGTGTTTGACCTCATCTGCACGGATTTCATAAGGGCAGCCTTTTTGAGATGATGTGGGATAATTGTCAACTGATCAGTGAACTGGGGGCGAGTAAGCTCACCAGTAAATCTGATCCGACATTCATTTCATAGTCAGCCATTAATCTAATGTGGCTACAGAAATTGAGAGTTATTAAAGCAGAGAAAAAATAGAGGGATGTTGCAATGAACTTATCACAACTACAGCTGTAATTGCTAGTGATCGATTTTGGTTTGCTGTTTTTGACACGCTGGCAGTGTGAGTGGTCAATTTCAAAGGAACTAATGAGGAGACATAATTTTCTTTGTCAAGGATGTTGTGTTGTAAAGGAACTTAAAATCAAGACATCTTAAATGGTTAGATGAGGTCGAAGATATGTTTATGCATGTGTGTGTGTGTGTGTTCATAGATTTTTTTTGCACCCTCAGATTCCAGATTTTCAAATAGTTGTATCTCAGCTAAATATTGTCCTATCCTAACAAACCATACATCAATTGGAAGCTGATTTATTATTAGATGATGTACAAATCTCAATTTTGAAAAAATGTACACTTATGACTGGTTTTGTGGTCCAGGGTCACAATTGTCAGGTTGGGGCAAGTTGTCACATGTTTTACAATTTTATATAAGTTTTGATTTGGAGATTAGTTTTGAACATGCTTTTAAAAAAAATCTGTTTCATTAATTGTTTTGTGTTGAAAATTGTGTACTTTCTTAATGTAAGGTTTACTTTCACACTACTGTTCCAAAGTTTGGGTCTCTAAAATAGTCTTATTGTCACGGTCCAGGTGTGTGGAGGCAGGCAGGATGACGACAAGGATACAAAATAAGGATATTTAATGTAGCGACAACAAGGCAGAGACAGGCACACACTCGGGGTAACATTCACAATAACCGACAACACTAGAGTACAAGAGACAGGAACTTATATAGGGCAGTTAACGAGGGACAGACAGGTGAGCACAATGAGGTGATTAACTAATAATTAGACGGGCTAAACCAACACAAGGGGAAGAAACCACAACAAACAGTCCACAGGGGTGTTACACTTATGCTCGCCAAGGCTGCATTTATTTGATCAAAATATTACTATTTAAATGAACTGTTTTAGATTTTTATATAATTATATTACAGTGCAAGGTTGATAGGCTATAGCTTGAAAACATGTCCTACTGTATTTCGCCAAAAGGTCAGTGAGTGTTTAATGAACTCTTCCTTTTTCCTGGACAGTAATTGTTTTTGTAGTCAAAACTTTGAAAACATTAACAGTAGAAAAATTGTAAGAAAAAAAGTGATTAAACTTGCCCTGGTCACCATTTTATTATTATGTTTTTCCTTTTTATCCTATAGTGTGCTCTAGAATGTTAGATGGGTTAAATATATTATGATTGTTTTAAAAATTGGAATTAGGATATTGCTGTACTTTGCAATTTTTTTAATATTGTCATCATGCAGCAGAAGATTTCTTGGTTCTAAACATGTGAATATGCTCGAAGAATGGAGGGAACTGATGGATGACTGGAGAGAGATTTGATTTCTAATCTGCCGGGCTGGGCGAAGCCATTGGTCAATAATGGATGAGAGCTTGTGAAATATTTAGAGTTTGGCCTAAATTAGCTTCCTCCCTTCCACCTTGTGTTGCTTGAGAAAAACAATGTGTCCACCATCGTCTTTGTACCTGAGGTAGTTTTTGATAGTGTTGATATTTACATCAAATATTGAGTCAAAAACTAGAATGGGTTAAAAGAAACTTTACTAAAAAGCAGTGTGCCATTTGTTATACACCTTTGTCTATTTGTAAAAACAAAGTGCACATACAAAAGGGTCCTGACGATGGCAGATTTATTACACCACGGTATTGTTGTGCAGGTTAGGCCAAGGGTTTTACGAAGGAGATGCATTGGGACTGGCAAATCTGAAAGCCATGTTGCAGAATATATTTTTTTTTGTAAGGGCACCCAGCTAGTAGTGCATAATGTAAATATGACATAGGGGTGTGCGATATATATCGTCTGCAATAATATTGTAAATGTTGTTTTAACGATGTGCGATTTGACATTATCGAGTATTTTGCAAAAACTATTCAAAACACCTATACAGAGTACACGCATATATTACGTGAAGTCTAGACTAGTGCGAGTGTGCATTTAGGTCGCGTGTCCACCAAAGCGTTTTTTTTTACCGAGGCTAGCGTATTTCTTCCGTTGTTCTAAATGGGAGCGCTGCATTTTTTAAAAGTATAAATATGAAGAATATCAAAAACCTCAGGAGTCAGCTGTCCACGGTAATCCTTGAGATACCAGCACAATCAGCAAAATCTCGTCTAATTATAGTTATCGATAAAATCCCAGAAAATATCACACACCCCTAATATGACATTGTTCTAGACTGATAACAGTGAGGATAAAACACTCAGTTCTTTTGTTTTAATGGGTGAAGAAGACTGTGAACCTTGAACAATAGAGAAATGAGCCATCAAAAGCAGTAGAAACACTTACTGTCATTGTAAATGGATTGTGCAAGTCAGCCTTCTGTCAGATCTTTAATAGTTAGAGATGAATGTCACTGCTCTAACAATATGTTTTAAAAACACATCTGCCATTAACTCAAACAGTAATGGGAAAATATCTATATAATAGTATTTAGTAACTGAAATTGTCACTGTATATTTATTTGCCAATAACATTTTTATAATGTAGGCACACACACACTGACACACATACAGTATATAGAGAGCAAGAATGTCCTTGATACAGTGTAATTATTTAATTAAATATGGAGTAATACTAATTTACATGTGCTTAGGTTAGGGTTTGGTTTAGGGTTAGTTTCTTGTAATTATACTACATTTATTGTTATTACTATAGAAAGTAACAAGTGTAACAAGGACACTGTAAAATACGGTGTTACCTTTTTTCCATATTGTCAGTATGCCTAATCATTTGTATCCAAACATACAAATATGTGTGTAAACATACATCTGTGAATGTTAATGAGTCGGGGCTGGTCTATTTGACATGTTTTGCATATGACATTGAGTTCACTTTTCACCCTGTCATAAAAATATTCAACATTACTCTAACCATTTACAAATTAATTCTGGCATACTTGCAGACATTAACACATATTATTGACGCATTGCAACGTTGAACATTTGAGGTACATTCAGATGCACAGCTGGCAGTGGCCGATTAAAACAACTTTGATTAATATTGCATAAGAAATTTTAAATAAGATCTTGAAAATGTTATATATTTAATGAGTTCATTCCAGTTTGCCAGATGATATTATCACCATTAACTCTCTTATAAGTGAGGGCTATTCTTTAGTATCTGCTTCAAGTTGTTGTTGTTTTTTTTCATGGTGTGTGCTAGTTTTTTTTAATAATTACCTTTCAAATCCTTTATTTCTAATTGGATTCTAAATAATAACAGCTGTTTCATCTGTTCCCCATCATCTGAACCTCTAACCTGACCACCTTTGTGGCATATTGTCTCAGCACAGCAATGCTGTAAGCCATCCTACAGCATAGCATTCATTTAAAATGCAAGATTACCTGCACAGACAGCCTGTGTGGTTTGCATGTGTCTATTCAGAGTCCACTCAAAGACATCCTTTCAAAGTCCTCAACACAATCGCCAGGCTGCTTAAGCCAATCCGTATAAAGGCCCAGCGGAGTGGCGTAATGGTAGAGATCTATTCAAAATCTAATGTGAGAAACATTCAATTACTTAACATGTTTGACCTTCTTTTGTTGTTTATGTGGAGTTATGTCTTTGTGAATGCATTTTGAAGGGCACTTTACTAGTATTGCAGAAGCTAAAACTGTGCTAATATGCATAAACAACACACATGCAAACACATCTTTCTGAATTGTTTTGTAGATTGCTGTCCTTTGAAAAGTAGACTTGGTGTACGGCAAGAGGGTCGATGATGTCATCAAAGAGCCTTTCTAGTCAGCAGTAATTTGGAAAGAAGCCAGTCCCACTCTCAATCTGGGGGTGTAAATAACTGGTTGTTAGTGGGAGTCTGAGCCCAGAGAGTGTCTTTTGTGCTCCACGCTGGCTGCTTTGTCACTGCTGCCAGCTTGAGATGGGTCAATAGCCATGTTCCCACAAAGCCGTAGAATGGTGGAAAGCTGAGTGATTGACAGCTCTGACTGGTTTAAGCCACCCTGCTCACACAGGCCTTTACGTTCTTATAAAAGAGTTTCTTTTTTGTTGGAAATTGTCTCATTACCAAGCCACAGAAGATTTTAGCTCTGGTCCCTGCGAGAAAACTAATGTAAGATTCTGTCTAATGGTTTCTTACAGCAAAAAGGCTTTACTGACATGGGATTTCATTGGTTTCAGTGCTGCTGTAAATTCTGTGTGATGTTCTCCATGATACTGTGGTAATTATGCATGTGATTATATGTCCATTTAGAAGAGATACCAAATTATCCATTTGATGAAACTGTGTGATTATGAAAATGGAGAGACTTTAGCTAAGAGTTTTAAGAGAATCCAATTGCCATGTTGATCAAAGCGCTAAATGATGCTCCCCGATCGCATCACTCCCAGAATTCCCTTCTCTATATTGATTGAGACTGGTGTGTGTGGAAATGGAGTCTTCAGTTTTTAACAGAATCCAGAACTTTGATTAAGCCAAAGCTGTGCTATTTTTATGGTCCTTTATGGATGTTACTTGTGATTTCTTCCCAGTGAGATCTTGGGTAAAAGGCATAGTACACTGTGTAACATCAGTGATCTTTTATTTCAGAATGTGCAATACACATTTCATGCAAGACATTGGTCCCAATCATCCTGTTGACAGCACAAAAGAGCAGCTGAACTGTGATGCAAAATTTACTTTTTTCTTACAGCATTACAGAATTATTTCACAATCAACAAACCAAAGCAAAGCACAGCAAAACATAAAGCAAAGCGCAAAACACAAAGCAAAACAAAACACAAAGAAAAACAAAACACAAAGCAAAGCAAAACAAAACACAAAGAAAAACAAAACAAAACACAAAGCAAAACAAAACACAAAGAAAAGCAAAACACAAAGAAAAGCAAAACAAAACAAAACATGAAGCAAAAAAAAAACACAAAGCAAAACAAAACAAAACACAAAGCAAAGCAAAACACAAAACACAAAGCAAAGCAGAACACAGAGCAAAACAAAGCAAAGAAAAACAAAACAAAACACAAAGAAAAACAAAACAAAACAAAGAAAAACAAAACAAAACACAAAGAAAAACAAAACACAAAGCAAAACAACCATGAGCATGTCACAATAATTAATAAAAAAATCTAGTTTTTTTCCCTACAAAAAGAGACATAATTTATGATCAACAAAACAAAACAAAAACGCTATCAGTTAGCATGTCACACTAATTGATCAAGGACTACCGATTTTCTCTACAAAAATATAAATATTTTATGATTTGCCTGAAATTTGTCTCAGACAGCAAAACTATGAGTGTGAAGCCATTTTAAACAACAGTGTGGTAGATACCAGACCATACCTCTCATGAAGGTATTTTAATGCATTTTTGGTGAAGTAGTCTTCACCTCCTTTGGCAGGTTTCATTAAAGGGGTCATATGATGCGATTAAAATTTTTCCTTTCTCTTTGGAGTGTTACAAGCTCTTGGTGCATAAAGAAGATCTGTAAAGTTGCAAAGACTAAAGTCTCAAATCCAAAGAGATATTCTTTATAAATTTAAGAGTCAGCCACACCTACCTAAAACGGCTCGTTCTAACACACCCCCACATATCTACGTTGCTATGTGGGAAGATTTGCATAACACCGCCCAAAGAAAGAAGGCGTAACTTTTATTCTCGCTGTAGTTTTGTTGTTGTTGCCGCCATGTCGTAAAGACGCTGTGTGCTTCGTTGTGAAAGCGAAACTACTTTGTTTGGTCTTCCAAAAGAGGACGATATCTGCTTCGTCATGCCTGGAGCTGATCCGAAATATTTTTAATATGTATGTATTTATATATAATTTATATATATATATATATATATATATATTTTTTTTTTTTCTTAGATATATACATGTAATATATACATGCATGTGTGTATATTTATATATATACATAATAAATATATACAGCACACACACATATATTACTGTATATAAGCACAAACTTTTATTTTGGATGCGATTAATTGTTTGACAGCCCCTAGCATTCTGCAACCTTGGCTTTTTGAGACAATAAATCCATTTGTTTTCATGAAATTTGTTTCAAAATCAAGTCATTCACAAATAATCTTCCTCTTCATTTAGCTGTTAACTGCTGCGATTGGATCATTAAGTCAGTGAGTTGCTGTGTTTTGCCTGAGTATGTGTTTTAATTTGTAACAACATGAGGGTGAGTAAATGGCAATTGTCATTGTTTTGGGTGAACCAATCATTTAAAAGCTAAAGAACTCATTTATGGGATCATTAATAAGGCCAAATTAGCAGATGATGCAGCAATGCCACGCACACAAAAATATGTATATACATATTACAGTATTTTTCACTAGTGTAGGATTTTGAGCTTATGATCACTTTAGTCAATGTCCCTATTTAGATCATATTGCATCGTGTATAAAATGAAACGCATAGATAAATGAACTACAGTGTGTAATCAAATGCATTCTGTTCACTGACCATCTGAACCAAGATAAGTGTTTGCTTAGTGCAGAAAATTCTTTTCAGCCTATTGACTCTCTGAAGGTCATTCTTGAATCGCCCTTCTTTTAAGGTCAGAACACATCGTGTTTGTTGAAGGAAACTTAATTCATCACATTTATCTTATTGCTTGTTTGTTGTCTGTTTGTGTTAGTTATGTGCATGTGAAAATACCACTGTGTGTGTTTGTGTGTGTGTTCATAAAAGCTTTCCTCGTGACTGCTTGACTAAATTCAATTTCTCAGTCCAGTAATGATTGCTCAAGCATGTACTGAAAATATGTGTACTTCAGATGTCCTTTTCATGGTTATTGTGGCTTTTTGCTTCATGGTCGATTAAGACTATTTAATAGAGTTTACTTAAAGGGCTATTTTTATGTGGTTTTGGCTTTTGGTCTTGCACATCCCACCATATGGCAGCTGAGATGTATTTCAGAGCAGAGACAGTATGTTCTGTCAGAGCTCATGCTGCCTGTCAGACTCCTGACTGTAGCGTCTGTGGTGGCGTGTGGGCTTGCTGACGGAATAATAATGTTCTGAGCTACTAATAAGCATCAGGAAGTGATTATAGACAGTTTAAATGCAGGTACATGATTTCAGTGACTTTTTTTGCTCTCTAAGTAGATGAAAATTGTGCAATTATCCTTTATGTTTTCACACGATCCAAGTCTATTTGTTTCCTCCATGATGCAGGGTGTTTTTGGCAATGATTTTCTCTTATATAATGGCTGTGCATTCATTTTATACAGATTTTTAGTGGGATGGTTCTAGTTTTCTCAAGTGCAGAGTATTATGTTAATTATGTTATTACATACTGTCTGCTGCTTATACTTTTTGTGGAGTATGGTGCAAACTGCAAAGAAACCTCTTTGTTGGCAAAATAGGCTTCTAAAGGAAGTTCAGGAGAAGCGAGTCATTTAATCCTGTCAATCACAACACAGTATTTAATATTTAAAGGGCCGCTCACCTCGCTCCTGTGACAGCACTTCCGGTATGTGTCCACCACCCCCATCTCCACCTTTATTTTATTCACTTCTACTTTATTATGAATTATTGATTAAATTGTCCAAAGAGATGTTTAGCACCTGAGTTGGGTCTCATGCTTGAGTCCTCCATGATGGACAGTAAACTAAACATGTTTACTTGTATCTCACTCAAGGATTGTATGAAATATAAACTTGCAAAGGACATTTATGGCTGTGTAACACAGTAGGCTCTGAACACTGACCTGGGTGTAATTCTTTCTAGCTATTCTTTGCTTTTCCGCTGATCTCTCACATTCTCTTGAGCAGAAAACTTTTCGCAGGCAATCCATATACAGCAAATTGCAAAAAAATTTGATTTTTTTATTATTTTTTTTATCTTTTAGTATTATATTCCCGTTTTTCCTAATGTCATCAGCAATTGAGCTGCATAAGTTTGTGTAAGACCTGATGATCATGTTTTCCAGCATGATTTGAGATCACAGAGCATCTTGTGCTTCAGTGGAAGCAAGAACATCTGACCTTTTGTGTTAAATTCACGTAATCGATGTGATGCATTTCCTTATTTTAAGTGAAAAAGTGAAAGTGACGTGACATGTGGCCAAGTATGGTGACCCATACTAGGAATTAGTGCTCTGCATTTAACCCATCCTAAGTGCACACACACAGCAGTGAACACACACCCACAGCCGTGAACACACACCCGGAGCAGTGGGCATCCATTTATGCTGCAGCGTCCGGGGAGCAGTTGGGGGTTCGGTGCCTTGCTCAAGGGCACCTCAGTCGTGGTATTGAAGGTGGAAGAGAGCGCTGTACATTCACTCCCCCCCACCTACAATCCCTGCCGGACCGGAGACTCAAACTCGCAACCTTTGGGTTACAAGTCAGACTCTCTAACCATTAGGCCACGACTTCCCTTTTATTATTATTATTTATTTTATTAGTGCACTAGAAATAGTTCAGAACCTTTAATAAATCTTATTAATTTTACATCGTAACATTTTAGCATGTTTTAAATTGTTCTAAATCCTAAAACAAAAATGTTCAAAAATTTTTAATTTAGGTTGAAATTACATATTACTGTATACAGCATACATTAGCATTCACAAGATTGGGGTCAGTAGTTTTTTTTTTTTTTTTTTACACACTTATGCTGTATATGTCATGCAGAGACACATTACATTGTTCAAAAGTGACAGTAAAAGCATTTTATAATGTTACAAACATTCTCTATTTCATGCAAATGCTGTTCTTCTCAACTTTCTATTAATCGAAGAATCCAGAAAAAAAAATATTATGGTTTCCACAAAAATATTAAGCAGCATAAACTGTTTTCAACATTGATAATAATATTAATAAGAACTGTTCCTTGAGCATCAAATCAGCATACTGGAATGATTTTTAAAGAATCATGTGACACTAAAGACTGCAGAAAAGGCTGCTGAAAATTCAGCTTTGCCATCATAAGAATGTATTACTGTAAAGTAAAGACAGTCAATCGATATTTCTGTTTCATACTATTACACTAGCTCATTTTATACTAGTTTATGCACCTAAATAGCATTTACTTTGACTATGTAAGTTCAGATGACTCAAATCTTCCTGTGACAATGCCTGCAATAGGTCATTTTCATTTACATCCATTATCATATTGGTATGATTCCTGCCTCTCTCTGTTGAATTTCATTTACTGCTGGTGAGAGCAGCAGGGTTTTAGAGCACATCGGCATGGACCCGTTTAGACAAACTACAGTGACTCAGCATTTATTGACTGTATGGCGGCCATTTAGTGGCTGACAACAGAGTATTAGATGTCCACTCAGGATCTCGAACATGTTTTATTAACCTTACTCATTCTCTGCCATTCTTTTCCTTGTCTTTCAGCCATCATCAACCCCAAAGCACCCAAAGAAACCAAAAGCTTCAATTTTGATTACTCCTACTGGTCACATACCTCGGTAAGTCAGTAGTTCAATGAAATGAAACAAAAATCAGCATTGCTTGCAGTGAAACACACAAAACATGATAGACGTAATACCCTTAAATGGTCAAAGATCATGCAGTATATATTTTTCTTCATCTATCCACAGCCAGAAGATATCAACTTTGCCTCCCAGCAGCAGGTGTTCAGAGACATTGGAGAGGAAATGTTACTTCATGCCTTTGAGGGCTACAACATTTGTATTTTTGCATATGGCCAGACTGGGGCCGGTAAATCTTATACCATGATGGGCAAACAGGAAAAGGACCAGCAGGGGATCATTCCACTGGTAAAACAGATGCATAAATAAGCAAATATGAAGAATACGCATTTCTAAATATCAATTTAAGTACTTATAAACCAATTTTCAGCTGCTAAATTGCCCTTTTTGTACATCTAAAGCGCATATGGTCTCTCCTGTCACTTTGGCATTGCTTTATAAACAGGAAAAATGATAATGTATTCAGAGGCAGTGTGAACAAGATAAATTCAAACAAAATTAAATGGCAAGTCAAACACCAAGCTGACTAGTACACACAGTAAGAAAATGATTATTCGCTTACTAATCTCTCTTTATTATGTCTCTCTCTTTCCTCTTCTCCCTTCAATCCTAAACATCAGCTGTGTGAAGACCTTTTTACCAAGTTTAATGACCACAATACTGATAACAACATGTCCTATTCTGTGGAGGTAAGATTTTTTTTATTGTTTCAAATCTGAGTGTAGCTTAATTCCAAAGCAGCTGCTTTTATATATACTGTATATGGTGTGTTTGAGTCTGTGCCCTGTTATCACAGCTATTACGATAAATTACCTATAGTAAAAAAAAATAAATAATAATAATTATCATGTCATTAAGACTTTAGCAATATTGTTATTACTTTTTACAGTAAAGTTTGTATATTATTTTTTGTTTTAATCCTCAAGTAGATTATGTTTTTTTGCTTTTAACAGTCTATTATTTTCATCCTTTTAGGTTAGTTATATGGAGATTTACTGTGAAAGGGTACGAGATCTTCTGAACCCAAAAAACAAAGGAAATCTGCGTGTGCGAGAGCACCCATTACTGGGCCCGTATGTAGAGGATCTGTCCAAACTCGCCGTCACATCATATAATGACATTCAAGACCTGATGGACTCAGGGAATAAGGCTAGGTGTTCTATTCTATTCTATTGTAATGGAGTGTTCATGCCATGTCTGTATTGCTGTAATTATGATTTTCCAACAAGTAAAAACTATTCATGTACATTACTGTTCAAAAATCTGGGTCAGAAAGATTTTTTCAAAAGACATTAGTATTTTATTAATCCAAGACAAATTAAACTAATTAACTTATTAAAAGTGACAGTATAGACATTTAACATTTTAGATTATTTTTAAATAGCACAGTTTTTTTTTACTTTCTATTCATCAAAGAATCCTGTAAAAATGTATCCCAATTTCCACAAAAAAATATGAATGCTTAAAAGAACAGCCTTTAAATTTTTTGAATGGTAGTGTATTTAATGGTATTGTATAATAAACACATAATTATAAATGGGGAATTTTTTTTGTCGGAATTTTATGAGTATTCCAAATTTTCTGATTTGACTGTCATGATGCAATGAAACCAAAATGGATTCTGCCACAAAAACAACTTAAAGAGCAGGTCATATGTTTTTTTTTTAAGTGTCCTAATATTGTGTTGGAGTCCCCTAAAACAGGTTTAAATGCATCTAAGGTCAGAAAACACGGTAATTTTCCCAGAATATACATTTAAACATAGAGTCATTTGTCCACGATTTCGAAAATGTTTGTTCGATTCAGTTCTGAGCGAAATGTCTGTAAACCCCTCCCTTCCATAAGCCTACTCTGCTCTGATTGGTCAGCTGACCAAGCCTGTTGTGATTGGCACAAAAAGGAGCGCTTGAGCAAGTTAGTGAGTGCTACCATCTGTGTTGCCAAATACACGGTTGTTTTTGGATGTTGATGGTTGTTGCGACCCCAATAACGTCATATTTAGGCACTTGAATGCAAATTTACCAGGGGAACCCCGACTGAAAGCGTGAAAGCGATTTTTAAAGGAGGGACCACCCTCGAAACACGATTTGGCTAGTTTTGAGTAGCAATTGGGCAGGTTTTTTTTGTGACAACCAGGCAACCCTAGCATGCACCTTTACATAAAACAATAATATAGTGCTCCAATCAGTTCTTAAAATAATGACATAAAAACATTTTGTTTAACACTTATGCAAGCGGATTGTGCCCACAGCTAAAGTTTAGCTGCTAAACTGTAAACACTTAACAAAACAATAATGGTGGATACGTTAGCCGAGTGCTAACGTGACTAACTGATGAAACAATACAGTTTGAAAACCAAAATATGTCTAACGTTACTGTAATGTTTGAAGAACGACAGACAAAAGACGCTCCGTGTCTTAACCTTTAATTATAACGCAGAACAGTTGTATGCTCACCAGCCTAACTAACTCGTCTCTCTCTACCGGGTCTTTTACTCCCTGCATTACCCATATAACTACATAAACAGCACTTTCACAATGATTATAAAGTCTGCGCGCTACACTACATTCTTTATTATTAAACGAAGTAATTAGAACAGCGACAGTCTACATAAATCGACACATTCTTAGGAAGTAGTGGGTTCACAGCGAATTATCAGAACTATTTCAGTAAGACAGTAATATCGTGCTTTACCTGGAAACCTAAAGCTGCATTAGGTATCCATCACATATTAGCACAAAAACTTGATATTTTGAGCACTCAATTGAAAATGTACACATAACGTATCAATCGTACTTACAGGTTGTGGTTCAGAGATGCTTGTTAGTCCAAATAAAGAAGATTAGAAGAAGCCAACGAAGATAAAAGGCAAGATTAGAGAAGCAGTCCTTGGTAAAATGACGAGCACAACAAAAGGTTCGAATTGTATTGCTGTGGTATCTTGGAACACAGCATCTTCTCGACACAGAGAGTGTTCGTGTTTCGTGGGCAGGCGGGAATAATGCAAATGTGTTACCCAGTGACGTAGATCGGTAACAGGCAGAAGATTCGAAAATATGACGATTCGTTAAGGCGATTCTGAATCGACTCTTTCTTTTGAGAGACAATATCTTTATTTATTATGCACTTTTTTGATTAACAACTTTGCAGACTGTTTACATTGAAGGATAGCTACCTTACAAACTGCAAAAGAGATATTTTTCGAAAACCCATATGACCTGCTCTTAGGCAGGGACCTAAACTCATATTTTAGTTTATTGCCCAAGTGCATTATGTTTGTTTTTAAACATTTAGAGAGAACATATAGAGGTGAATTAATGTAGTCATTAAATTATTGGCTGTCTTCTAAAACAAAGCCATTGGGATTTTGAGCGTTGTCATAGAAACAAATAATTTCTGAGTCTGAGGACATGATCAGCACAAACTAGAATTTCAAAGCTGCTATTTTGTAATTACAGTCATTCTGGCACAATGTGAAAGCATTCTTTTCGATTCTATTCTTTTCTATTCTATTCTGGCTTCTAGAAATAAACAATGATAGCCTTTTGCTGCACAGACCAGTGGTCCTGGTCACGTGTTTTTTCAAGGTCTTCATGGCCACATTGAGAGGAAAACAAATATTTAGGCTTATCATCATGGAAACAAATGGACCATTTAATTCCAGGAGGCATTATGTTAGTGCATTCCTGTTTCCTCAGCTTAGCGTCAGTCAACAGTTCTCTAATCTCAAGGTGTTGAGATGCACCAGTGCCAATGCACTATACTTTCCTCCTACGCTATACATTTAGTCTGTTATGTAAGTTACTGTTTGGCAAAACAGACAGGAGCTCATTAATGGAATGAATAATTGGGAGTTTTTTATTTTATTTTAGCTGCATTTGATGAATATGAAGACACCAAGATCAAAAATAAAATACAAATATTATTGCATTTAAATATATATTTTCTATTGTAAAATATTTTTTAAAGTAATTTATTCCTGTAATGACAAAACTGAATTTTCAATTGCTGCCAGTGTCACATGATTCTTCAGAAATCAATCTAATATGCTGATTTGCTGCACATTTCTGAAGATCAAGTAACGAAGTAACATTTCTTATTATCAATGGTCTCTACTTAATATTTTTGTGGAGTTGTGTTTTTTTTTCAGGATTATTTGAAGAATATAGAATTTATTAAATTTATTTAAAATAAAGTTTTTGTAACAATGTAAACGTCTTTACTGTCACTTTTGAAAAATTAATACATTTTTACTGAATGAAAGTAAGAAAAATTTAAAAACACATAATTTCCTCACAAGGTATAGAGTCTGAGCAGTCAATATTAATGAAGTTTCTGAATGGTGAAATTCTGTTATCCAGGACAGTAGCTGCCACTAACATGAATGAGACCAGCAGCCGTTCACACGCTGTCTTCAACATCATCTTCACCCAGAAGCGCCATGACTCCGAAACAGACAACACTTCAGAAAAGGTTTGTGCTGCTGTTGCATATTACAGACCCTGTCAGTCACAATAAACAGCTCTGTTTAGATCAAAAGGTTAGGCCACTTGTCTCTCACCCTTACACAGGGCTGTGTTGGATGACTTTTGACATTGAGAGTTTTTTTTCTTTCTCTGTATGGGTAATGTGAAAGGTGATATGGGCCTGTCCATTTATCAGCGTGTTCATTATTGACCTATTCTGAACTTCTCTGGCAGGTCAGCAAAATCAGTCTGGTGGATTTAGCCGGCAGTGAGAGAGCAGATTCCACAGGAGCCAAAGGCACACGGCTCAAGGTGACTAATATATATATATATATATGTATATATATATATATATACTGTATATATTCACTTCCTATCCCCAATTGTCTGTTGTCCTTTCATGCTCTCTATTTAACTCCTTTAGTATCTCTGTGGTCTTCCACATCATTGTATCCCCTCTGTTTCTTTTCTTTTCTAACATCTACAAATGTCTCTTTCTCTTTCTCCCTTTGTCCTCTAATTCTCTCTACATACTTCCTGTACTTCCTGCCATTAGTGCACAGAGCGCATACTGACATTTTGACAGTACCCCACTTCATTCTATCATCAGTAATTTTTTGAGTTTGGAATTGTAATTAAATTTTCTACTTACTCTTTCTATCCCAGGAAGGGGCAAACATCAATAAATCACTTACTACCCTGGGAAAAGTCATTTCAGCTCTGGCTGAAGTGGTAAGTGCTTTGTTTTACTCTGAACATTGAGGATGTTTGATGATTTATTATTTTCTGCATAAAAAGTTTAATGTGTGTCAGTTTAATGATCTGCAATCACTTATTTTTGCAGGACTCTGGCTCAAACAAGGTATAACAACATGAAACAACATGTCTATCTATCTATCTATCTATCTATCTATCTATCTATCTATCTATCTATCTATCTATCTATCTATCTATCTATCTATCTATCTATCTATCTATCTATCTATCTATCTATCTATCTATCTATCTATCTATCTATCTGTCTGTCTGTCTGTCTGTCTGTCTATCTATCTGTCTGTCTGTCTGTCTGTCTGTCTGTCTGTCTGTCTGTCTGTCTGTCTGCTCTTTGTTTTGAACTTATTTAATTTTTAATTGATTAATTTTGATTATTAATTTTGATATTAATCTCTATGTATCAAAGACTCCAAGAAAAAAATGTATCACATTTTTCACAAAAATAAATAAATACAAAATTTTTGTATTTACAATTGTAATAATAATATTTTACTGTTTTTACTGTATTTGAGATAAAATAAATGTAGCCTTGTTGAGCATAAGCAAGTTATTAAAAAAAAGAAGCTTAATGACCCCAAATGTTTGAAATATAATATAATATAATATAATATAATATAATATAATATAATTTTTATAATTTATTTCCCCACACAGAACAAAAAGAAGAAGAAAGTAGAGAGTTTTATTCCTTACAGGGATTCTGTACTGACCTGGCTACTGAGAGAGAACCTTGGTATGTATCAGGGTGTTCTGTCACATGAAACAGGATTTTAATGTATTCTCACTCTTGAAGCACTTGACCTTTGACCTTTGCAGGTGGCAACTCTCGCACCGCAATGGTGGCGGCTCTCAGTCCTGCTGACATCAACTATGATGAAACCCTCAGCACTCTCAGGTATTCCTGCTCAGTAAAACACCAGTTCTATCATTGTTTTCTCTCTGTCTGAGGTTGGTAATGAGCTAGTTAATGAGCTGACGGGTACAGCGGTATGTTACATAATGAGAATATTCCTGTTCTCTCTCCACACACCTGCCTCCCACTTGAAATGCCCTTCAAAGATACTGGTGTGCAGTAATATTGCTGAGCAGAGTAATTGGGCACCTATCAGTGTGTGTATGTGTGTCTGTCTAAAATCTTTTTTCATTATATTATGTGTATATATCTACTGCAACCGCCATAAGAAAGCAGCATTATTAAAGCATTTTTTCAATCCATTTATTTTTTCTTTACCATCTTAAGTCCACTTTGTGTGTGATTCAGGTATGCAGACAGGGCTAAGCAGATCCGTTGTAATGCTGTGATCAATGAAGATCCTAATAACCGTCTGGTGCGTGAGCTGAAAGATGAGGTGTCCCGTCTGAAGGACCTCCTCTATGCCCAGGGCCTGGGTGACATCATCGAGAGTAAGAGTGTTTGCTTTTTATCTGCTCTGCCTTTATTTCATCATAAGTATTTCATCAGACAGTGTGTGACCACTTTTGTTTTAATGGTACTGAGACATGCATTAGTGCATAATGTTTTATTGTTCTGTTCCAAATCCTAGTAAGCTGCCTAGAGAGAAGTAGGCAACTAAATTAGGCTGCCTTCTAAGCTCTTTTTGGCCATATTTTAAGGAAACATGTAGGTATGTCTTTAGAGGTGAAACACTGTGAAAACATTATCCCAAAATGGTGGACGAAAAATAGAAATGTTGATGAAATATATGTTAGTTATAGTTCATTCAGTACTAAAAGTATCAATGGAAGGAATTCAGTGTTACAATTGTTTATTTTACCTAATACTTGAGGATGTTGTGCATTGTTATGTTTGTTAGAGTATCAGACTGTTAGCTTAGCAACATGCTAACAACAAACTTTAACATCAGTTTGAGTCTCAGCGTTGAGCACTACTTGTGCACCACGTGAACTTGCTGTCAACATAAAGTTTTCAAAATTTGTCACTTTTGATATTCCATTACAGTCAATGCTGGCTGTCTTATTAGGCAGCTGTCTATGTACAGTAGGTAGTAGGCAGCAAGCAGCTTGCAAGGTTTTGAAACAGAGCTCTTATGTCTCTATTAGAGATGGAAGAGAGTTGCATATATAATCATGGATGGTTAAAATTAAGTATAAATTGTTAATTACCACACACACGCACATTAAAATGTACGCTCTTTAAACAGCTCACATTGATTCATTGGGTCCTCAACGCTTCCCTGTGCACTCCTAACTCTATTTCTCTATTTCTTCTAATCACTCGTAGCAAGCAGCTTGCAAGGTTTTGGAACAGAGCTCTTATGTCTCTATTAGAGATGGAAGAGAGTTGCATATATAATCATGGATGGTTAAAATTAAGTATAAATTGTTAATTACCACACACACACGCACATTCAAATGTACGCTCTTTAAACAGGTCACATTGATTCATTGGGTCCTCAACGCTTCCCTGTGCACTCCTAACTCTATTTCTCTATTTCTTCTAATCACTCGTTTCTTTTCTCATCCTATCGTCTCTCGATGGTGATCCCAGCGGGGAAATTCCTTAGAACAGACGATCTGGAGTCCAGCCCTCTGGGTTTGGTACAATTCAGTGTCAAGTGACTTTCAAAAGTCTAAATTAGACTCAGAATTTCCTCTTAGCTCTTAGCCTTTTTTGTGTCAAACAGTTCGTCTCCCTTTCCTCTTGTTTTCTATTCAATTTTATAGCTTTTTTTATTCCTCTTACTCTTGTTCCTTCTTTATCACTCTCTCTCAGCGTTTCGGGGGCCAGTTGAAGATTTTGCTGGTTTGAAATGTGTGTTTCTTGGGCTATTTCTCACTCTCTCTTCTATGCTTTTGCAGTTTTTATGGATAAAGCAGATCGTTGCAGCCTCAGAGTCCATTCAAGGGTTTGAGAGAAAATTCATACTCTCTCAATCATACAAAAATCATATTAGAGACAAGTTCATATCATATCCCATGAAAGCCATAAATGTTTATCTGTTAAGGCTATCAAACTATTTTGTTGTAATTTCTCTGTGTAGTTGTAAATCTATTAACCAGCTTTTATAATTGCCAGTAACAATTATACCATTATACATTCAACATTATATAAACATTATATATTCAACATTTCTGTATTTGGTATTTATTTAGTATCTAATATTTGGATTATTATAAATAATGTAGTTGTGGACATTATAATGTAGTAATGGACAAACATAATACAGTCTTCTAATAATCTTAATGATTATTACCAAAATGCCATTTTTGGAGTTGGTATTTTGGTGATATATTGTGATTATTTGGTTGTTGCTTTTTTCTAACCCTTGTTGCTAGTGTGGTTTCTGAGCTGAAAGCTGCTTTATCTAGTCTGGTGCTGCAGGGCTGTTTGTTTCCTCTCTCTTGTCACCCTCTCTTTTTGTTATGTTTCTCTTTTGGCTTGCAATGCAGAGCAGGATAAATGTTATATCACACTTATGAACTAATTGGTCTCACTCATCCACTTATCTGTCATAGTAGTTAATTAGTTAGATAACTAAGTATCAAATGAAGTGGCATCTGCACGTGCAATGTGCTACTTTTCTTTACAATACATAGTGCTAAATTCTGTAATCTATTGCAAGAAAATTCATTCTTTTTTAAGTATGACTTGTGCCTGAATACTTCTGGGACACCGTATGTAAAAATCCCACTTCAGTTTATATGCACTATGGTTGTTGAAGACATGGGAGAAAGACTTCTATCTGCTTGTGTTTCGCAGTGGGAGGGGCTTATAGCAGATGTGTGTTTGAGTGACAGCTTGTGTTCTCTGAAGCTCTTATGCAGTGGCTGCCTGTTGCTTTCTGCAGCTTTATTAACAGCTAAACATCCAAACTAATGCTTCTTAATATCCTATGTGACACAACTTGCGTTTAAAGCTTCAATTCCACTAAACATGTAATTGAAAAACCTGCATTTGTTACGTCAAGGAACCATTTGTGCCTAATCTAATCCATAAAAATGATTTCTGTTGGAGTACGTAATTTGTCATAACTTGATTTAGTCAGGTTAAACAATTTCAATTTACAGTTAATTTAGATGTTACCACATTAAGTGCTTTTTTCGGTTACTTGATAAAAATAAAACTTGAAATAACATTTCTTTCCTCAGGGTTTTGGTAGTAGGTGATGATGGAATACAATCATGCCCAGTTTTTCCAAACCAAGATAATTATTTTCAGATTGGCAGCAATTATTTACATGTGTGAGAGAAGGTAGATTCTATTTACAGCAAATAAAATAAATCAAATAAAATAAAGGGAAAAAAATACAATCTTGTTTGCAGCAATGTTATTTTAGTGTTATTTAAATACTATTATATTATTTATTAATATTTTGAATTAGTTATTATTATATTGTCAATTTAATTTTTAGGTGAAGTTTCAGTGAATTTGTTCTGTGATTTTCACATTTATATTTTAGTTTTTTTAGTTATTCAGTCTTAGTGATTCTAGTACTTAGTACTCTAGTACTTAATACTTAAACAACATTTCTAATTTTCATTTAAATTTAAGTTTTGCATCAGACATTTTATTTTACTTCAGCTGTATTTTACAGTAATTAACAAAAATGATTTTTAATATTCTCGTTAGTTTATTTCCTTAGTTATTTTAATATTTAGTTATTTATTTTTAGTCTTAGTTAACAATGACAACATTGAGTACAAATAGTGATATAGATTCTATTCAGACAAAGAATGAACAGAAATTATATTCTGTTTGTATGGATAAATTGTCTATGTAATATTGTGTGAAGTTAAATAGCCTTTGCTAAAACAAGATTGGTTATTGGCACTGTAAGATATGTCACTGGCCAGTGGTGAAAAACATTTTTAGTTTATCTTTGATCACATCTGCTGTGTGCGAGATGCAGCCATTATTCAAACACAGATTGAGGATGTAGAGAGGCGAAAAAAGCTTAGTTAATCTTAAACCTGGCATGCATTGGCACAGAGCACTGCCCTAAGCAGAAAATATAAGCAGAAGTGCCTTTCTTTAATGTACATTATGTAATCCTCTCATATCAGCTGCTATATGCATGGAATCCTCAGTCTCCATCTTTTGTGTTTAGTCAACCGTCACCAGGGGCCACGTCTTCTCACGGTTTACCCAAGATACTTGCCATGTAGCTCTCTTAGGATTGTAGTAGCACTGAGTAAGCACTCTGTTGTCATAGCAGCACTGTCAGAGCTGAGAGATGTTATTGTGCGAAGGTTATAGAGAAATTACAAAGCCAAACTCTCTGTAGAATATACGTTTATTTAGCTATTATATCCCGTGTTACATTTCGTATGGTATTAGCATAACTGTTCAGCTAGGGATATGTGATATTTAGTGGTTGGATTGGTGGATATTATATGAAATGCTGGCAGTGAGAAACGTGGGAGGATCTTTCCTCTGTGAGAGTCGTGAATGTTGTTTTGTAACTCAGATGTAGGCAGTAAGTTGTTTCATTGTAAATGGATTTCACGAGAGCATAATGGAGCTGGTAATGGAGGTTTTACTGTGGTCAGCGATGACGATCGCTCTGGTTAGAGATGATGGGAATGAGAGTCACTGGCTTTTAGCAGAAATATGAGCTCATTGCTAATGTACTACAGTCAACATTTGCTTATAAAAAGTGTATGTTAATTAGTATGAGAGATGGGCCAATGCTAGATAGCGTTAAGGATATAAAAAGGCCTATAGGCTAAAATAGCATGGCAATAGCATTCTCTTTAGACAGCATTTATTTAGACAAAAGTCTGTGAAGTGCATATTTTCATTAAGACATTTTGGTTACACTTTATTTTAAGGTGTTCTTGTTACAGTGTAATTATACATTTAAGTACTGAGTAATATACATTAACTTTAGGTACTTACTATATGGTTAGGGTTTGGTTTAGGGTTACTTGCATGTAATTATGCATCATTTATTGTTATTATAATAGTAAGTACATGTAACAAGGACACCTTAAAATAAAGTGTTACCGACATTTTCTTAGGTATATTTTGCCAATATTGTAGATGTATTTTAGATATCATTTTAGTATAACCTCAAGCCCCAAAGCTCCATTGGGGATATCATGCACATTTAAAGGGATAGTTTAGCCTAACCATATTCATCATTTAGTCACCTTCATGTCATTCAGACTCATTTGGCTTGCTTTCTTATGCGCAACACAAAAGAAGCTATTTTGATGAATGTTTTAGCTTTTTTTGAGCAAATAATGAAAGTCATTTGGGTATTGCGGTCCCAAATGGGCATAAAGTTAGCTTCCCCTAGTGAAAGATAAATATAATAAAATGTATTTGAAATACATTTATTTAATGCTAAGTATGCTACAATTACATTTACGTATTTATGTACTTAATAAAAATACCCTGCAACTTATTTTGTACTTAATGCACTTTAAATTGTGCAGTAGTTGTGCTGAAGTCCAACTAAAGATATACTATTGCATGTATACTTTAGGTACATTTTAAATATCTGGCATTTAAAGACTGATATTATTCCAATATCATACAATCCTCATCAGTAGTGACATTAAAACGCATTTTAGGCTTAATATTAAGAAATGTGCATTGCGCACAAGTAGTTTATAAGGTTTAATTATAATTTATATCAGTAAATCTTGAGCGATATGTCAGTAAATATGTTAATAGATTTGAACTATACTTAGTATGAAATAAATGTATTTTAAATATATACATTTTTTACTAGAGTACAAAGTTTTCTAAAGCAACATGATCACTTCTATGATCAAATTGAAATTTAAGCCTTTATACATCAGTCATAACAAACTTGACCGAGTACATCAAATATGGCAACACAAACCTCAAATGATCTCATGGCATGTGAGAACCAATAAGGTGTGATGTTTTTTGACATTTAAAGTTCATGTTGTCATATTTGATGTAGTCTTTGTTTGTGAACGTTAATCAGTGTTCTAATTTGATTTGAGAGTAGATTAAGACTTAATTTTGATCTGTTTATCATATAAAGCGATTGTGTCACTTCACTAGGCTTATAATATACCAGTTGACTCATATGCTGGATTCAATTCTATGTATGTCATTTTTGGCTCATGAACATCTTGTATACATCTTAGTCAGATTAGATGCCATACTGAATTTAACACAGTTGAAAATGAGGCTGTGAGGGATTGACTTACAGTTTTTACAATGACACGCTCGGTTTAAAGGTCCTGTGTCATGCAACGTCATGCATTATCAACTGGAAGTTTTTTTTTCAACCTGTTGTAACTGTTTTTAAAAAACTGTGTAATCCATACAATAAACACACTGTACTTCTGTCCCTCACAGCCTCGTTTTCATTCCTGACAAAAATTAAATAAGACGCTGACTAAAGTCTATTGTATTGCAGAGAAGAAAGAAAATTATAATCTAAAGGGGTCATGACATGGATTTTTAAAATTATTTTAATATGTTCCTTGAGGTTTACTTATAACGGTAAAGTTTTTGCCAAAATTATTATTTTCAACCCTTATTCTGGCCCTCTGTCTAAAACAACTTGTTTTAAGGGGCGTGTCCTTTAAGGCTTTTCAGTAATTGCCCACTGTTATGATTGGCTAACGTCACTGCATAGGAAACAGTATCAACACCCCCTTGCTATTGCATGTGAGTGTTTTGACAACATAATAACATTTTTTTAAAAACGGTCATTTCTAGACAAAACATTATGAAATCATTTACTTACGGTTTGTGATGCAGCTGCAGTCAGATCTAGTACTGCTTCATCTTTCAACAACTGTTTCTTTGTGAACTCTCCATGAAACTAAGCCTCGTTTACAAAACAAAATGCTCCAAACTATCTACTTGTTCCTTACGCTGGGATCCTTCTGATATCTGTACAAAGATGTGAACGAGCTGTTTAACCAAACGCATCAAAGCGAACGTTCTTTCACTCCATTTGTCCTATTGACAGACTCAAACGCGTGGACTGTATCAGAAAGCAAATGCTCATCTCTATACTGTATCTACTGTAGACAAGATAGCGGCAGTGATTATAACTTCTATTTGCTTTTGACGCGACACTCGCATTCAGCATAATCAAGTGTCAGCCATTAAGCGACTGAACGCCAGTGGGCGGGGCCTATAAAAAGAAGACTATTCGTAGATGTCTTGCTCTGGAGGCTGTGTTTATGCAAATGTTTGTTCCCGGCTGACGTCATCTTGCACCTCAGATCCAAAATGAGCCATTTTTGGAGCTTGAATAAATAAATGCTTTGTTTATAGCGAGGAGGACTTTTTAAGCTATGAAACTTGCAGGATGTTTTAATGGTACAAAGTACTCTTATATTCCAACAAATCAAGGCAAATTTGATTTCTCATGTCATGACCCCTTTAATGAGTGAGAGCAAATTATGACAAAGTTTTCCATTTTGGCTGAACTATTCCTTTAAGACCAAGAAAGGATTGCCATTTAGTTGCTTGAATGGACTAACAGCATTTTGCTCAATGTACACTAACAAATATAAGACACTGGTGTCAAATAACAGCCCAGATCAATGCATGCATGCCTCTTAAATTTTTCAGACGTGGCTCTCAGGTTGCTGTCATTGGATGGCCGGTGTGTAACGCTGTAGGCTAGCTGATGGCTGGCGTGTCTCTGTGCTGCCGGGTGCCTGCGCTAGAGCTTTTATTTAGTTTTTGCTTGTCCCCTTTACTGGGCTGACTGTCTGTTCTTTCTTTGTTTCTTGGGAGTTTCTCCTCATGTGAAATTTCTGGGTCTCTGAATTCAAATTCATTTCAAGCTATATGTCTTTCTCTGTCTTCTTTTCTTTACCTTTCCTTCCTTCTGCTCATCCTTTTCTGTCTGCTTCTCTCTGAACTCTGTGTCTGTCACCTCCTGCCCCTCTCCCCACCCTGCACCTCTCTCCCCCTTCCCCGACAGACATATCCGATTACAAGAACAATAACAATAGTGGCCAAGCTGTCAATCAAAGAGGTGATCTCTCCACAGTGACCAATGCTATGACGGCGATGAGCCCCTCTCCATCTCTCTCTGCCCTGTCCAGCCGGGCTTGTTCCATCAGCAGCCTCCATGATCGCATCATGTTCAGCCCAGGGAGCGAGGAAGCCATTGAGAGACTCAAGGTGACTGGCATGAAACCCTGATAACACTGACTGAAATCCTTCAAATATAAATCTGACAAACATTTGCCTAACAACTTCAGATTAAAGGGCTCATATCATATTTTTCAACATTTAAAAAAAATAATTTCCCCCCTTAGTTTTACTGTACTTACGTGCAGTATTGTTGTTATTAACTAAATCTATTTAAATGGTTTTCACCAAGTGAAATAAAGCTGGAATAAAATAGAATGGAAATAGAAAAAGTGAGAAATGTTGGTTTAGCAACTAACTGAAACAAAATAAGTTTAAAGGGATACTCCACCCCAAAATGAAAATTTTGTCGTTAATCACTTACCCCCATGCCGTTCCAAACCCGTAAAAGCTTCATTCGTCTTCAGGACACAATTTAAGATATTTTGGATGAAAACCGGGAGACTTGTGACTGTCCGATTGACTGCCAAGTAAATTACAATGTCAAGGTCCAGAAAAGTAGGAAAGACATCGTCAGAATAGTCCATCTGCCGTCAGTGGTTCAACCGTAACGTTATGAAGCGACAAGAATACTTTTTGTACGCAAAGAAAACAAAAATAACGACTTTATTCAAGAATTCGTATCCTCTGTGTCTCTCCGCATCACCATAGCACCATTTTGGAGAATATCCGCTGGACCCAAGCAGCGTACGCTCTTCTTTCAGCCGCGCTGCACAGATGCGCTGTTTTCGTTCAAATCAAAGCATAAATACACGTAGAAAAAACGTATCATTGTGTCGCGGTTGACACAGAATAGCGTACGCAGTTTGCGTTCAGTGGTTATTCTCCAAAATGGCGCTATGGTGATGTGGAGAGACACAGAGGAGACGGATTGTTGAATAAAGTCGTTATTTTTGTTTTCTTCGCATAAAAAAATGTATTCTCGTCGCTTCATAACGTTACGGTTGAACCACTGATGGCAGATGGACTATTCTGACGACGTCTTTCATACTTTTCTGGACCTTGACAGTATAATTTACTACAAGCCTCCCGGTTTTCATCCAAAATATCTTAAATTGTGTTCCGAAGACGAACGAAGCTTTTACGGGTTTTGAACGACATGGGGGTAAGTGATTAATGACAAAATTTTCATTTTGGGGTGGAGTATCCCTTTAAGTTGAAGTACTAATGACTAATACTAAAAATGAAATAAATGAAATATAAATTGAAATATAAAAAACTGATAAAAATGACAAAATCACATAACACCATTACAAAAACTACAATTAAAATGAAAATATAAAAATAAAAGCTCATTTAAAATATTAATAAATGCTACAATCATATACAGTGGTGGCCAAAATTATTACAACATTTGTCATATTTAAGAGGTTTCAGTTGTTTTTGTTGAATTGGCCATTACAGTACCCATCAAACAAACTATTGCCAGAACTACCTGTGACGGAAGGAATGTGCTGGAACATTGAAAATGATTGACCGGCCCCCTCAAAGTCCGGACCTCAACCCCTTTGAGCAAATTTGGGGCGAGTTAGAAAATAAACTGGACAGATCTATTGTACGTTCAATGGAAAGCCTTTGGCTTGAGTTGCAGAAGGCAGGAAGATAACATTAGTGTTGAAGTCCTCAGGAAATATATTGACACTATGCCAGAGAGATGTGCTGCTGTAGTTGCTGCAAAAGGTGGACATACCAACTATTAAAGTTAAAAGTGGATAAATCTGATATTTGTTGTGCTCAGAGCAACCACCTGCATGTTTCATTAACATTATGAAATGAAATCATGTTTTGGAGGCAAAAAAACATTTATTTTCCGATCTGTCAGGTTTTCTAATCATTTTGGCCACCACTGTATACTGTACTGTAAATAATACTAAAATAACATTGCCTACACAACTGTAACAATTTACCAGTGTGCACCAACAGATGCAGACCAACACCTAATAATACCACCAGAATACAGTCACTTCTCAGACATTCCATGACCCAACAAACCTCGAATGAACATGTTCAGTTGGGGAAAACAAGCGCCAACCAACAGCAACAGATGCCGATAGTGGTAATACACAGCAACAGTGGATTTTACAAAATCCGACAAACATATCTGTTGGTCAGACTCTGATGGTGCAGTGAGAATCAGCCTTAAAACTTTTATGTAAATGGAATCTGTTGATCACATGCCATTTATGGTGATTGGTTCAAAAGAGGCTGGTTGCAGAAATGAGCATCTGTTAGTAAAGATGGCGGATTTTAACCATGAACCAACCAAACACCTACCATTGAAATGAATGAGAATGCGGTCATGTGTTCATGTTTTCATTCCTATGATATTACAAAGTTGATTCCAGAATGAGGCATTCATGAGGTTTTTGTTTCAATAAATAAAACTGAGAAAGTGTTTTTTTTGCGGCAGTTTCAAGGTCTGAAAGTTACAGTGTATTAACTCTTGAATTCAAAATATTTTACCATATTACCTTACCCCAAAAACTAAATTGACTTTTGCTGTCTAAAGACATAGGTCTCACAAAAACTACCATAGATTTGATGGCATATTTTAACTTGATATTGTTTGTAATGCCAATTTAGGAAACAGAGAAAATCATTGCCGAGCTCAATGAAACCTGGGAAGAGAAGCTTCGCCGTACAGAGGCCATCAGAATGGACAGGTGTGTTGTATGAATTCTTATGTGATTTTTAAGCAGTTTTTATGTTATGTATAAGTTAACGTATTAAAAGCATCTATAAATTGGTTTTCACAGAGAAGCACTGCTGGCCGAGATGGGCGTGGCCATGCGTGAGGATGGAGGAACTGTTGGAGTCTTTTCACCAAAGAAGGTAAAGATGTTGTAAAGGCTGTAGGGAGAAACCGTGTGCAGGTGGACCACAAATTAAGGTTAATATGTTTGCTCAAATAACCAAATAAGCCTGTAAATGTCTTTACGTTCTTCTTCTGGAAGCCCTCGCAGAGAAAACCTCAGCCCGTTTTTATAGACACTGTTGGGCTGTTCTCTCCCAATGAGGTTGGTTGCCATGGATACTGTGTGGTTACATCCTGATCGCTCCTCTCAGACTCTTCTAACATACCTCTGTGTGTTTTCCCCATCAGAGCTCTTTTAAATGCGTCTGTGATCTTTATTTCTTTATTTAGGGATCTGTTGCTCATTACTCTCTAATATGAATGTTGATGTGCTGCAGTTCCTTCTAGTCTTTATAGTAAACTTTAAAGCACTTTGAAGACTTCAGATCTCAAGCATCATGGCCACATGATGCTTTTAAAGGCTTTCATGTCTGGAATCTTACGCAATTTGGTGAATTGCATGCATTTTCATGGATTTTGATACTGAAACTTGATGTAAAGACAGCTGTCTTAGTATAATTGTTTTACTTTTCTTTTATTTGCCTCTTTTAAAAGGTTGTCTACATACATTTTGAAAGTGCTCACAAGGCAGTGCTACTCTGATGTTTTGCAAACATTTTGTCTAGAGTTTGTTTTAAACCATTGATTCCAAGTATGATTAACTATTTGATCATCATTCAGACTTTTTTATTTTTAGACAATTTCAGCCTCTTTTCTGCCCCTGTGATTCATACTTTAGGAAGTCAAAAAACAGTTTTAAAAACTCCCACTTACTTCAGCATATACAATATACTGTATGTATATATATTATAGCGATTTGTCTTCTTTCTTACATCTGTTTGCATAAAGATTGTCTCAGCAATTAACATATACCGGTAATCCAAAGATCCAATCAATTCCCAATGGACAAAAGCAAAAATTCTTGCCATACATTATTTCTCGTTCAAGAAGCCATTTACACAGATATACATCACATTAGGGAGACAAGAAGAATGGAGTTACCATTTTATGCCGACTATATCCATTTATAGTCAGACTTGGACAGATCTGTGCAATGAAGGTATTGATTCTAGTATAAAACGGACAGAAAACAAGGTGCCTTCTCATTGTAATGACAACAGCAGTCCATCATTACTGTGGCATTTAGCTTTAAACACAAAACCAAAGCCTAAAACCTAAACTTACCTGAAACTTTAAAACTATTCAGTTGCTGCCTTGCAAGCATTGGTATTTCATTCAGTAAATACAAAACCTATAATGTTGATTTTGAATTAATTTGGGCCCTGATTATAGACACCCCACCTGGTGAATCTAAATGAAGATCCTTTGATGTCTGAATGTCTCCTGTATTACATCAAAGATGGAATTACCAGGTTAGTGCCAATCCAAGCTTCTTATTTCACACATTCTTCTGTTCAGTAGATTTAGTACTAAGGCGTCTGATATGTTGCTGTGCTCAGGGTGGGGAGAGAAGATGCCAGCAGAAGACAGGACATTGTTTTGAGTGGTCATTTCATCAAAGAGGAACACTGCACTTTCACCAGCACCACTGGACCAATGGGAGAAGGTTTTTTAATGATGCACTTTGCAATCCCACATGCTCATACACATATATCCCACAGTCCTTATGGCTGTTCTTCCTGTTTTTACAGCTGTCATTCTTGAGCCGTGTGAGGGAGCAGAAACTTATGTCAATGGAAAGAGAGTAACAGAACCCACTGTTCTCAAATCAGGTCTGCCTACACTTTTCCCTCACCTGCTACAATACTTTTTCAAAGCATTATGGGTTCGTTCCAATTATGTAGGTATTTTTATTTATTTATGATTTCATTTTTATTTAATTAATTAATTTTTAATTTCATTTCATTGAATTTGTTTATGATTTCATTTTTCAATTAATTAATTTATGATTTCATTTATTAATTCATTTATTTATTATTTCATTTATTTCTAAATTTGTCATGTTCATAAACTAACATTTAAAACAATTATTTTTGAAATTTGTATGCCATTTCGCATAAATGCTTTTATGCATATCTGTGTAGAATGAAACCGTCTTGTCTTTTTTTTTTTTTTGTATTGACTTGAACATTTGTAGGGAACCGAATCATTTTGGGCAAGAGCCATGTGTTCCGCTTCAACCATCCAGAGCAGGCTCGTCAGGAACGTGAACGAACCCCCTGCGCTGAGACGCCAGTGGAGCCTGTAGACTGGGCCTTTGCTCAGAGAGAACTCCTGGAGAAACAGGGCATTGATATGAAACAGGAAATGGATCAGAGGTAAAGGAAACATGGCGGAAATTCAAGAATAAGTTTAAAGGGGTCATATGGCGTTGCTAAAAAGAACAATATTTGGTGTATTTGGTGTAATGCAATGTGTTTATGCAGTTTAAGGTTAAAAAAACATTATTTTCCACATACCAAAAATTATTGTTGCTCCTCTTTGCCCCACCTTTCTGAAACACACAGATTTTTGCAAAGCTCATTTTTCTGAAAAGTGCGGTGTGCTCTGATTGGCCAGCTATCAGTGCGTTCTGATTGGCCGAATACCTCAAGCGGGTGACGGAAATGTTATGCCCCTTACCATATTTGGAAATCCACAGCGTCTCCATGACATGGCGGCGGCAACAATATTACAGCGAGAATAAAAGTTATGCCTTCTTTCTTTGCGCATACATTTGGGCGGTGTTATGCAAATATTCCCACACAGTGATGTAGATTTGTGGGGGCATTTGAACGAGGCATTTTAGGAAGGCATGGACGATTGGACGAGCATAAGAGGCGAAGAGGGGGTCTCTTATGCTCACCAAGGCTGCATTTATTTGATAAAAACAAGCAGTAAAAACAGAAATATTGTGAAATATTATTACAATTTAAAATATCTGTTTTCTATGTGAATATATAGTAAAATGTAATTTATGTCTGTGATCAAAGCATTGATCATTACTCCAGTCATCAGTGTCACATGATCTTCAGAAATCATTCTAATATGCTGATTTATCATCAATGTTGAAAACACTCGTGCTTCTTAATATTTTTGTGGAAACAAAGTGATAAATTTTTCAGGATTCTTTGAATAGTTCAAAAGAAAATCATTTATTTTAAATAGAATTTGTACCATTATAAATGTCTTTACTGTCCCTTTTGATCAACTTCATGCATCCTTGTTAAATCAAAGTATTGCTTTATTTTCAAATGTATTATAAAAATTATCTTTTGAATGGTGCATGTAAATTATAAAGAGTCAAATCTAGTTTTGCGATGGATTATTGCCTCTAAGCTCACCTCTAACCCATCTGCCAAATCAAGGTGCATCAAATCATCCGCATTTCTCCCATTTTCCTAAATGTTTAATTTGTTCATCATCCTCATCATCTCTTGACTTTTATAAAGAATATCTCTTTGGGTTTGAGACTTTAATCTTTGCGATTTTACAGATCTTATATATGCACGAACAGCTTGTCACACTCCAAAGACAAAGGAAAACATCATATATGTCATATGACCCCTTTAAGATGTGACATTTGTGTTGTCAGAGTCATCAGCTCTTTGTTTGTATAGACTGCAGGAACTTGAGGATCAGTATCGCAAAGAGAGAGAAGAGGCCAACAATCTACTGGAGCAACAGAGATTAGTAAGTGACGTAAACAACATATTGTAAAGAGCTTAAAATAAAACTTTTTCCCTCTATACTCATAACTTTACAATTAGGCATGATATGACACTTTTTTAGTGTTGAAATTTCACTATACTGTATGTCTTTTACAGGACTATGAGAGCAGGTTAGAAGCCCTGCAGAAGCAGGTAGATCGTTATTACCCTGATGCAGCAGAGGAAGATGAAGAACCTGAGGAGGAAGGTGACTAGATTGCGAATGGCAAAACCTGAACTAATCACAATGACTCGGTTTAAATAACTGAGCCTCTTGTATTTCAATCTCTTATACCCATAGTGAAATGGACTGAGAGGGAGACAGAACTGGCGCTGTGGGCTTTCCGTAAATGGAGGTGTTATCAGTTCACATCTCTCAGAGATCTGCTTTGGGGCAATGCCATCTTCCTCAAGGAGGCCAATGCCATTAGCGTAGAGCTAAAGAAGAAGGTGAAAGCTTGAGAAAGACCAGAAAGAACTACACCACTCTGTTAAACCTATAAAATATATGACAACATCTTTATTGATTTTGCCAAATGTCACTTACAGGTTCAGTTCCAGTTTGTGTTATTGACGGACACGATTTATTCTCCACTTCCACCTGACCTGTTACCACCCGAGACAGCTAAAGACCGCGAGAAAAGTCCATTCCCTCGCACCATCGTGGCTGTAGAAGTCCAAGATCAGAAAAATGGAGCTACACATTATTGGACCCTGGAGAAGCTCAGGTAATTTTTTTTAGAGAATAAACTTCTGTAAAGCAGATTAGGCTATTTACAATTTCACTAAATTATTTCATTTGTGAACTGTCAGTATCCAACAGTGGGCAGGTGTGCAGGAACCAACTAATGATATTTCCACAACATTTTCAAAATTACTGGTTTATTTGATGTTTTAAACAGTTAAAAATGTTTTGAATTTTTGCTAAAGCTAATTGTATAGTTAGCCTTTTAAGTATCCTGGCCCATTTAGATTTTTCTTTATTTTCTTCACATAGGTCTCATATTTCATCTCAGTTTGCTCTTTACAGACACTTTTGACTCTTTGGTGCCCACTACATTTACAGTTGTATTCTTTGTTGTAGTGGAAATTACACAAAAACTGAGGGACAGTCATATGTTGTGTTGTTATACATGTTTATAAAGTATTTTCACACAGTAATTACTGAAACAGTTTGGTATTTCATGTTTTGTTTTATTTTGATAGTTTTACAAATATAATAATCATTATTGGAATCATGTAATCTCATATTTTAGAATTCAACGTCTAAGATATGGGTAAAACCATAAAAGGTACATAAAAGGTGTTTGAAAAGTAGCAAAAAATAATGAAGTCATGTTATTTCAGGACAACAACAATAAAATCTGTTACCTGTACTAAAAATCGAGTTCTGAGACACAAAATGCTCGTAGTTGAAGAAAAGCCCAGCTACACTTTGAGTCACCTTGGGTTTCACAGTATAGCCAGTATTTACATTAGTAGTGATGTGTAATGCTGCACCCTGCAGGCAGAGGCTGGATCTGATGCGAGAGATGTATGATCGTGCTGCTGAGGTGCCTGGCAGTGCTCTTGAAGACTGTGACAGTGTGCTGACTGGAGGCGATCCGTTCTACGACCGTTTTCCCTGGTTTCGTCTGGTTGGAAGGTAAGTTGTAAGGTTACATCAGGGCATGACTAGACAGACCCGCAGGTGTTTAGTACAGAACGCCCCTGCACTCTCTGACTACTGTCAGATAAAGACCACATGATCAACAAAATTCCTGTCAGATTTCTCCTCAAACTATGTTTTATTTGAACCCATTGAAAGTGAATTCAATTCTGTTATGCAAAATGAGCAATTCTCATTGTGTTTTTGTAATTGTTATAGTAGAGCATCGTGCAGGCCTGAAAAACTGCTGGAACGAGAAAATGCAATAATATGTAATGTAATACACATGTAACGGAAATGTAATAAGCTATGGTTAAAGCTGATCTCTACAGGATATATGAAATTTAGCTAATTCCTCTGAGGAATAAGTCCAGAGTTATTGCCCACACGCTTTTTAAGAGTGCAAGATTTTTGATGCTGCTTTATTCAGAAGAGCATGAAATCGATTTTCCATGCACTTTCAAATTAGGTCACACGCTTCCCATTACCCTGTCTACTTCAGAGCTGTATGACATGCTGTTAATCTCGCCTTTACTATGTCTTTAAAGAGTAGTTCACACAAAAAATTTTAATTCTGTCCTCATTTAACCCCCCTTATGTTGTTCCAAAACCATATGACTTCCTTTCTTCTGTGGAACTTGAAAAGAGAGATTTTTTTTAACATTTTGTAAACTTTGCTCTTTTCCATGCAATTACAATAAGTGCAAGCTGGAACCATAGCTCCAATATGTATGATAGCTTTGTGTGACAAACAGATTTTGAATGGTTATTCACTGATAATTTTTCTCTTCCATTAGCTGTTAAGTGCTACAACTGGATCAGTAGCTTAGGGGAGTCATTATTATTTAGACTGGTTTTGTGAACTACATCAACCGATTAATTGAAAAGATATGCATCACGAAGCTGAAGCATTATTGTGGAGCTTGACAGTCCCCATCCTTATTCACTTTCATTATATTGAACATATTGGCTGATATATTTTTAATATTCATTTAAAAGTCTGGGGTTGGTACGTTTGTTGCAATGTTTTTGAAAGAAGTCTCACCAAGCCAGAATTTATTTGATCAAAAATGGATTAAAAACCATAATATTGTGAAATATTCTCTTAATTTAATTTTTACATTACTCTAGTCTTTAATGTCACAGGATCTTTCAGAAATCAATATGCTGATTTGGTGCTTAGGAAACATTTCTAATTATTAAAAATTTTAAAACCAGTTGTGCCATATTTGTTAGGATTGTTTGATAAATACAAAGTTCAAAAGAACAGAATTTATTTGAAAATATAAATATTTTGTCATATTATAAATGTCTTTACTGTCTCTTTTCATCATTTATTATATTGAATAAAAAGTATTAATTTCTTTTAAAAAAGCCAAACAGTGTAAAGGCAGTGTAATATTGGACAATCTTAATGGAATCCTGTTCCAGGCTGCTTTTCACATTACTGATGATTGTTTTTTGGGTTGTTTATGTGTTGTATGCCCATGACTCGGCTATTGGCTTATTGAAAGAGTTTACTTACCCACTTGCGAACAGAAACAATTAAAAAGACAGATGGCCCCTCATACTAACTGGGCTCCCGTGTCTTTGGCTACACCAGAAACCCCCTTTTCTCCACATGCCTTAGTGAGCAAGCGAGCGACCCTAACTCCTCCCCCACACACTCTGAGCCCACATCAACCTCTGAAATCACTGAGCTGGTCCAGTCGTGGCCTGACAAGAGGGTGGGGACAGAGTTGGATGACTTGGACGATGATTTCTTATCGGATGACCCATACTCGGATTTTGAGGAAGAGGAGGGGGAGGATGAGGATGATGATGATGATGATGATGATGAGGGAGAGCTCTGCAGAAGCTCCGGCAAAGCTCAGGACCCGTTTTACGATCGCTCACCATTGTTCAGTGTAGTGGGAAGGTTGGTGAGGTTTCAGGAGCATGCTGGGAAAGGAAACTAGCTCTTTCACACTGAGACTGGGTTGTTGTACAGCAGTTCCTTTTTAAACTGGCTATCGCACGTAATGTGTGCACAGCATTCACACAAAATGTTATGTGTATACACTGTAATGTATATACAATATGTACACTTAAACTTGAAACATTTTGCTTGCATAATGACAATGCTTACATTTATACACAAACACATAACTGAAAAAGCCATGTTAGATATATTCAAATAGTTTGATAGTTTAGAATGAATTAAATTTTTAATTGCTGTGAGTCTGTACATCTCTTTGAAATAAAGAAGTATAAAAGTAAATACAAATGTTATTGGCCTACAGTAGAGCTATGAAATAAAAGGACAAGAGACAATGGTCAATTTGAGATTTTTTATTTATTTACAGTATTTATTTATTTATTGGAAATTATATAGAGATCTCTGTTGATTTTGGTGTTTGGGTTTATGTCGTGACAAATGTCACATTGGTACAAATGTACAAAAAATGAAGTAGTCGGAAAATAAAATCTACAAATGTAATAATATTCTAAATATACATTTTAAAAATCAAATAAGCATGGTAGCTTGGCATAATATTTAATATTTATTATTATATTATATTATTATTTATTGAAAACAATTAATCTGTTTTGTTAAATTATTACAAATATTTGAAAAATAATTTTCGTCAAATTAATGTTATGTGGTGTGATCAAGATGGAGACATAAAACAGAAAATAAGATATAGAGGGGACCCCTGCAGACCCTCATGGCTTTGTGTCAAGGTCAAAAAGTCTATTAAAATTTTAAATAATTTGACATATTTATGACAAGGTAACATTATTTTAGGTTGTAATGGGTTGGTTCAGGTTATGTAATGCGACACACACACACACAAAGATATTTATGAATCAATAAATTATTAAGATGTGCACACTTTTTATTTAATGGTTACACCACATGCCATCTTGTGGAAGCAATATGAATACATTTCTAAGAATTGAGAGCACATGGGTTTTAAACACAATTTTTCTTTTATTTACCTTGGCGCCTACTATTTGTCAATGACCCTTGCGGTAAATCTGTTTGTGACGTTGTTGAGATCTCTTGAGGGTCTTTGGTCTGAAGAAAAATCTGAGTAGAACGTCTCCACTTGAGTCTTCCATCTCGTTGCTGTAGGAGAAACCTGTACATTATTAAAAAGATGTGATTTGTCTTTCCTCTGGGAAGAATTCCTGGATTTTAGTCAGCATGTCTGGACTTTACCCCGTCTTCTCCCATTATCATACATTTGACTTTCATCTGATTGCTGCAGACACACACCTTGAGCTTCTGGGTTTCATTTCGGCCATTGATTGTGATAATTCAAATCAGAATTGGCTGGATGTCAGCGGCACCACCCAGCGCAGCTATGGCTCTCGCATCACGCCAAGGTCTGTGTCCCAGCTTTACATGCACCGCATCACTTCTTCAAAGGGGTCCGTCAGCTTTGAAGTGCTATCTCCAAACACTCATATTAGCTGTTTGTTTTGTGTACCGGAGAAACAAACAAGACCAGATTTTCGTTACATGGCATGAATTTATGATGAATGAGAAAATAGCTATTAATCGAATGACTTACTAATTGGTTCCCGTAATTCAGCCGCTTGGTTACGCCGAGAGTTCACATATCTCAAGATGAAAGAGCTGGTTTCTAGCACAGCTGTCTCTCTTCTGGGCATGTGCGATCATATGCCGTATTTCAACCTTTTTTGTGAGATTTTACATGGAAACCTTTGATGAATTGGCTCACTCTTTTAAGTTGCGCTTGTGCAATGCACTGCACATTTGTGACAGTATGGCTGCTTTTTTGCAGTATCTTATTTACCTTTATTTTTTGGCATTTGCTAATGGTATTTTCTGTTCACGCTCACAGTATCCAGTACTGTTACATTTTATGTCTCCTCGTTCACCTTTTTTGTCACAAGCATGCTTTTTTTGTACCTCACCAAACCCCCTTTTTTGTTCAGCACTGCCGTATCATTCAGTGTCTACATGTGGAGGATGGGCAGTGTAGTCCTTGATGGTAGAACCAAAGTTAGGGTTTTGGGTTTTAAATAAACAGTCCTAATTCTGGTTCTGATCATGGATGTATAGATTATCCAAACACCCCAATCATTCACTCAAAAATATATTGAATCACTAAAGCTGTTCTTTCATGTAGTCTGTACATTTGACACATATAATGAAGTCCTAACCTTTGAGACCACTAGGCAAAATGTTGTACATTTTTAATTTGCAAATAATGTTAGTAGTACAATAATTTGAGTGAAAGGGTGAGTTGAGCAATTAACATGATTTTCAGAAAGTTTTGTTACAAAACATCTAGTGTGGAAAAACTAGACCTTTTGTACAAAATTTACTTTTATTCAGTGTTACACATTTGCTTTTTAGTGACCTGCAGTAGAAATGGTATGGAATCTTAAGTATTTATTTTTTTATGTCTATATTTTTACACTACTGTTCAAAGGTTGGGGTCGGGAAGATATTTGATTGTTTAGATATTTGAAGTGTGCTCACCAAAGCTGCATTTATTTGTTCCCTTTCAGTCAGTCACGTTCTACATTATGTCAGTTGTGACTGACAAATTGGGATCTCGCCCGAGAGCCCAATCACTTTCGAGTGTAAACGAAACAAGCCAATGACAGTTGGCGTGTGTGTTTCGCCACACGCACCCCGCCCTGCAGCGCGGGTATAAAAGGAGAGCGCATGCAAACGCACAACAGCTTTTCGCTTCGGAGCCGAGCCTTCTACTAGGACGAATCTCTGCGAGTGTCTGCAAAGAAACAGCCTAGCGTTGGTGTTACGGCACATCAGTGGGGGTTGCCATTCAGTGCTGCTCAACTTCGGCGTGCTGCAGCTTCTATTCTGCACTCTTGCCGCGACCTCCCCTGGACGCTTCAGCGCTCTCTCTAAAAGAGTGTTTCCATTTTTCTAAAAGAGCAAATATCTAAAAGAGCTCCATGAGCGACGGGCGTCTTTTTAAAGATGGCTTCCCGCTCGTGCGTTTCTGGATGTGGTCGCTTCCTGGCTTCATCTGACGGTCATGATCGCTGTGTCTCGTGCTTGGGCTTACAGCACGCTGAAGCAGCGCTCATGGATGAGTCATGTTCTCAGTGCAGGAACATGACTATTGCGGCGTTGCGGTCTAGATACCTCCTCATTAAACGGGGGGGGGGGTATCCCCCTTGCCATGCCCCGTTCTAGCTCC